AACGACGGAATGCGACCGTTTGCGACGGACATTCTGAGCAAAAAAAACACGTTTCTTACCTAACTATACGACGGAGACGGTGCGTCGTATATCCGTCGCTAAAAACGACGGACTGCGTCGAACTTTTCCGTCGTAACACTTGCGACGGAGAAGACGGTCGGTATCCGTAGCCAATAGTTACGACGGATAGTCCGTCGTATACTTCTGTCGGAAGTCCCTCGTTTTCGGTCGCAAAGATTTTGCGACGGAATAGTCCGTCAAATTCCGTCGTCTTATGTTGCGACGGAAACCTACAGATCAGATTGTTTTCCGTCTGCATTCCGTCGTTAGCCGTCGTTAATTTTAGTGTGACGGACATATCCGTCGCAATGTCCGTCGTATTTTAGCGCTTTTTTTGTAGTCATTCTTGGTCATAAGTCACCGTTTGAGATGTTATTCGGCTCTTATCCCAACAATTCCAAACTCCGCACCTTTGGTTGCTTATGCTTCCCTTGGTTGCACCCGTATTCCACTCACAAACTCGACCCTCGATCATCCCCTTGTGTCTTTGTCGGTTACTCCTTAACACAGAGTGCGTTCTTGTGTCTAAACCCAACCACTTCTCGAGTCTATACCTCACGACATGTGACCTTTTATGAATCCACATTCCCTTTTTCCAACCTATCATCACCATCAACCTCTTCTTCCTCACAAGAATCTGACCCGTACATCCCTATTTCACCTCACTCATTGGTTCCTTGTGGTCCACTCATATCGACATCTCTCCCGACTGCGCCCCTGGCTCAAGCTTCTTCTCTTGTCGATGCAACACCATCACTATCAACGTCCATACCTGCGTCTTCACCAACCTCAGAACCTATGTCTGTTGCTCACTTCGACCAAAACACAAGCAACCCGTCAAATACCACTATTCAACCTATCCACTCCACCGGCGACACCATTGAACCAGACACATATCCTCAGCCTATATCGATTTCTTCATCCCCACGCAACAACCATCCCATGACAACCCGGTCAAAAAATAACATTACCAAACCCACTACCAAATACGTTCACCATTCGACCGTTACCTCCCATCCCGACATAGAACCCACAACCGTGTCCCAAGCTCTTAAATCTTCCCATTGGAGGCAAGCTATGACGGTGGAGTTCGATGCTCTTGTCAAGAACGGCACGTGGGAATTAGTTCCATCGGACCCTTCCTATAATGTCGTCGGATGTAAGTGGGTGTTTCGCATTAAACGTCATTCTAATGGTTCTTTTGACAGGTGCAAAGCTCGACTTGTGGCAAAGGGATTCCATCAAAGACCGGGAATTGATTATCATGACACATTTAGCCCGGTGATCAAGCCCGCTACCATTCGCCTTGTTCTAAGCATTGCCATCACCCGAGGATGGACTTTACGTCAACTAGACGTAAACAATGCCTTCCTACAAGGTACCCTTCATGATGATGTCTACATGATTCAACCTCCCGGTTTTGTTGATCGAGACCGGCCGTCTCATGTTTGTAAGCTGCACAAGGCACTCTATGGTCTTAAACAAGCACCAAGGGCATGGTACACCGAGCTACGAACATTTCTACTATCCTCGGGATTTCACAACTCATTGGCCGACACATCTCTCTTTGTTCTTCGGGATCGTGATATTGTGCTCTATGTTCTTGTCTATGTTGATGATATTGTCGTCACCGGCAACAACACATCCCAATGCCAAAAGTTCATCAGCATGCTCTCGGACCGCTTTTCTATTAAAGACCTCGGGGATTTGACATTCTTCCTTGGCGTCGAGGTAACTCGAACAACCGCCGGTCTGCATCTTTCTCAAAAGAGGTATATCTTGGATCTTCTTGAACATACGCATATGGCAAATGCTAAACCCGTAGCTACTCCAATGTCTTCGACCACATCATTGGTTTTGAACTCGGGTGACCTCTTGGATGATCCATCCGAATACAGAAATGTTGTGGGGAGTCTTCAATATCTCAACTTCACTCGCCCGGATATTGCTTTTGCCGTGAATAAGTTGTCCCAATTCATGCATCGGCCCACAACCGATCATTGGCAAGCGGTTAAGCGTGTTTTGAGATATCTTGCTGGATCATCATCACTTGGCATTCTTTTGATATCAAACAACTCCATGCATCTCCATGCTTTTTCGGATGCTGATTGGGGTGGGAACAAAGATGATTTCACCTCGACTAGTGCTCATGTGGTCTACCTTGGCCGTCATCCCATATCATGGTCTTCGAAAAAGCAACGCACGGCTGCGCGGTCCTCCACCGAATCTGAATACAAGTCTGTCGCCTCTACAGCCGCTGAATTACAATGGCTATCCTCTCTTCTCTCGGAACTCGGCATCACCTCGCTACCTCAACCGGTAATTTACTGCGACAATGTCGGTGCAACTTACCTTTGTGCCAATCCAGTTTTCCACTCCAGAATGAAACATGTCGCCATTGATTATCACTTCATTCGCGGGCTAGTACAGGACGGTTCTCTACGTGTGACACACGTCTCATCTCAAGACCAACTCGTGGATTCTCTCACCAAGCCGCTGCCTCGAGCACGTTTTGATCTTCTTCGGGTCAAGATTGGTCTCGCACACGAGCCACATCTTGCGGGGGCGTAATGGAAGAATATCTTCCTGATATCTCTTTGATATTTCTGTTTCTATATTGCATCCTAATCTCCTCCTTATTTTATGTCGTTTGGTTACCTTAAGCGTAACATACACATGTGTATATATGTCCTTCTTGTATGTATCACAAATCAATGAATTTCATTCTTCCGAAACCCTAAGTCGTTTAGTGACTTCTTGGGTGTCATGCGCAGCAAAGATATTTGAAGAAGACATATTGTCCGGCGAATATTGCACAGATTAGGCGGTGGAGATGACAAGAAGAGATGATGGCGCCGACAAAAAAATTAGGGTTGACTCTGATACCATATAATCAATAAAAGGAAGCTTGGTATTATTAATCACATATGAAGGTATTTATACAAATAGGTTAACCTAATAATACACATGTAAAAATACATATTTATCCCTCTATACAAAAAATCTATATCATCACCACATCAACACCATGTCATAAAAAAATACAAGGTTATCAAAATATATCAATGATATCACGTCATTAATTAAAAATAAATTAATAAAATATAAAAAAATATTTAAAAATACAAATTTCAAAAAATAAAAAAATAAAAAATTTGTTTAGTTTTTTTTTAATTATAACTATACCATTAAGTTCGTTATAAAAAAATTAATTTTTATAACAAAACATCTAATAGCATATAACAAAACATTTGAAACTTATTAGAATCCAATAGATCATCCATCTTCTCACTACTCCAACACAATCTTCTTAATTCTAGAATTTTAATTAATATTCAACCACCTACGCCAAGTTAAACTCCTGATAGTATATAACATTAATATATATACATGTACTTATATATATACATGATATATTGATATGTATAAATACATATATACACAATATATATTTATACGTATCAATGTTTAGATATATATATATATATATATATATATTTATAAACAAGCATATATAAAATATATGTATTTAAACATATATATTCGTATACATATTTTTAAATTTATTTTTTCAACTAAAATCTAAATTTTCAATCGATATTCGTTGGATTCCATTGGAATTTTTTTAATAAAAATTTCCAACCGAAATCCGTTGAAATTTTTTTCTAATTGACATCCTTTGGAAATACCGTTAGAATTTTCAACCGAATTTTTCAATTGAATACGTTGAAAATCCATTGAAAAATTTTCAACAGACAATCCATTGAAAAAATCCGTTGAAAATCTGTGATTTTCTTTTTGTAGGGATGTTATATCAATTTTGATTTTGACTCACCATTTCCTTCAAAAATATTATTAAAAAACAAAATAGATATATATACATATATGTATATATTATGTATATATATACACGTATACGTATATATATATATGCATGTGGATATTTCTATTTCTATTTCTATTTATTTTGTTTTTATTGATTTCTTTTGAAATTTTTAATTTTTTTAAAAGAAGAATATATGTATTTTGATCATAACATGACAGTTGATGTGGTAAGTTGTAACCTTCAGTGAAAGTCCAAATTGACACAATATGGTTCGTAAAATACCACGTAAACTATGTTGGTTAAATATGATTTTTATTTTGATAGTTGAGGTTTTATTTTGTCAAATTTGACAAGTTCAAATATTATTCTTCTTATTTTCCTCTCTTTTATTATAAGTTTTATAATCTAAATTATGATGAATTTAAGTGTAGGATTTCTTTTTGCATAAGTATAATTAATTATGATTTTTTATAACCCCACAATATTTTCAAGATTTAGTTTCAAATATTTCGAGATTTAAAACTATATGCACCAGTTGTATCATATGCTATAAATTTTTAATTTTACGGATTGTCAAATGAATTTAGCGACTAGAATTTCCGCAGTAGCCATGGATCCATGGATGGGTATTGCAGATGAAATATGTGAACAATTATGCAATTAAAGCTTTTGTGATTACATTTTTATTACCGTGGATGGAGTTACATATTGAAATAATATGATAAAATGGTTTATTAGATCGGTTCGGTGAGGAATTGGATCAAAGGAAGGAGAATAGTAGACCTAAATCCCCACCAACATATATATATATATACACATACATATATATATATATATATATCCCTTATATCCCTTATAATTACGATAGATGTGGTTATGTGTTTGCGCAATTTAACAAAGAAAGTGGAAAACTAATACAAGCTTTTATTATCCCTTTTTAATACGGTAGATATGGTTACATATTGAATAATATGATCAGTGGTCCGTACAGAGTCCTCATCATGGGCACTCTGAACTTTTGCCCGGACCTCCGTAGTGGTGTGTTGTCCCTTACCTTCATTCACAATCTCACCTCCAAATTCAATCCTTTTTGCAAAATCGCCCATTCCCTTTACTATTTCTGTGGTCCAGTATCCCACGGGTACCCCATTAAACACCAACCACCATTGTTTGTTTACAGGATCCTAATTACAAGAGATTTTACTATTACTATTACATTTGCATGACCATGCAATTTGAATTGATGACTACGTACGTACGTCATAAATGATATCTTTTGGTAAAAAGAAAAGGCACTTACCCTTGAGATTTGGAGTATGAATTCTTGTTGATCACCATCATAGATAGATATGGGGCTCATGACAGCACCTATGACGAACTCTCTGTTCGTTAGGACAAATCCGGGACAATTAGCATTGTAGCAGCCCGTTTGATTGTATGAATCATCCTGTTTTTGGTAGAATGTGCTTGCTAATTATACATCTCGTTCGAGATAAAGATATATGACAATGGAACGAAACATTTGACTCGTCTAGTGAAACTTACTGTCCAAAATATGAAGAAATGTGGCTCTGTATCTCCAAACCCATACGGGTACACCTGATATAAGAACATATAAGAAGCAAAAACATGTTGATATTATGAAACAAATATTTTTGTACAACGAGAAGTACCTGCCAGCCAGCTTCCAAGGTGCTGACACCATTGGCATGATCCTCACTCACGGCCCACATCTGAGCTAAGCTGAATTCGTCTCTGCCCCACTCGACATAGGGTTTCCATACTGCTATGCGCACCTTTCCTCCAACAAGTGGACCCCAATTGCGTAGTATTGCCCACTAATGCCCCTCGAACAGGTAAACATTCAAGTTCCAAATGGAGAATGAGCAAGTAGTATAGATATATTTCATGTGCGTGTGTATGTATATGTATACCTCATGTTCGCTTAGATCATCGGCAGCATAAGATATGTTTTGTGGTGGAAGCCGCTTCTTCTTCTTAATGGAAACTTCTCTTAACAAATCTTCTCTTGTCTGCCGTATGATTGGAACGGTGTTCTTCGGGCATTTCCCATCCTTTCGCCAAATATGATTCCACAACCCCAACGGTTCGTCCATTTTGCGGTAACCATCTTCTTCTTTGAAACTATTCATTAGAAAGGCGCTTGGCCTCATCTATTTATAGTATTGCAATCAACACAAAGAAACATGAGATTTGAATGATTAGCTTATGAGAAAGGAGTTTTGAATGGTAACACCTTAAGGACAGCACAACACAAACCGCATTGTAAAATATAAGAGAAATGATTAGCTTTTGAAAAATCCCAACACAACTAAAATTTGATTTAGAACTAACTTGGACGGTGTGGTTTCTGAGCAAAGGATGATCCAAACCCGGTTGATCCATGATATGAACACAATCTATTATTCTTCCATCTGGACCCTGTCCGAAAGTGAACGACAACAATTACACACACAACATTACAAGTTGGTTACTGATTTTTTTTCTTTGTTTATGCATTTTATATATCGTGAAATATATATGTTTGCTATACTTTTGTATACATATGTGTATGTATAGATATACCTGGATGGATTTAAGAGGAGTTTTGTTGCGTTGTTTCAACAATCTTTGAATTTCTTCTTCGGAGATTTTGTGTTTTCCTGCAGAATCTACGATTACATTTGCTATAATCACAAAGGCCAACAAAAAAGTGGCTGTCCAATTATTCATGATTATAACAAAATGCTAACGATATTCAATCTTTCTCTGAATAATTTTCCATTGGCTGCGGGTTATATATACAATGTAAGTGTGCAATATATGGAATTGAATCTTTATGTTTTTAATATAGGGTTATATAGATGTAAAGAGATCTGATTCTGATAATCAGAATAGGTACGATAAATATGTAAATATTAAGAGATTCAATGTGCATTTTACAAGAGTTCAATAAAAAAAAATGAAAAAGGTAATTTCTCTTTCCGTAAAATTAACTATCTTAACAAAAATATGGAATTGAATTTTTCTTTCTTTCTTTTTTTATTCTGAAAAAAATCAAGAAAGACGAACTATCCATTGGATCAAATGGAACAAAATTTCCCTTTTGTCTCAACAAATATAAATTAGTTGTTGCGCCGCGTGATTTATTTTGTAAATTACCTTATGATGAATTTTATGATTAATTTACAATTGGGAATATCCTAAAAAAAACTTTCAATTTTGTAAAAAAATTTAAAAAAAAATTGTCATTTTTATCAAACACCACCACACAGTCTAATGTCGTTCGAAATTTGAAAAATTAATTATTAATACAATTAAAAACTAAAATTTAAAATTAAATATATAATATAATATAAAAACCAAAACAATAATTTAAAAAAAATAATTATAATTTATAAAAAAAATTAGTTATAAATATATTTAAAATTTTAAAATAAAATCTAATATAAAAACAAAAAACAAAATTTAAAAATCAATTATAATACATTTAAAAATAAAATATATATATATATATATATAGATACATATATATGTACATAAATACAACACATACATATATATACACATATACATACATATGCATGTATGTATGTATGTATGTATATATGTATCAAGAAGAGCAATCTGATAATCTCAAGACGAGTAACGAGACCAAACCTTCAATTCCAACACATTGTTTTTAGCCTTTGATGACGAGTCTTGTCTTGCATCGATGAGAAAACGTTCGCTCCGATGGGTTTATGCCTTTCTAGAAATGTAGTCAACTCTCATGTTTCATTCGTCTTAATAGCCTTAATCTCCCCATTCGTGGACGTGTTCCACTTTTCGTTAATGGTTCAACAAAATCGATATATCGGTTTTGTGTCTGCAAAGAGACATCCTATTGTGCTCAGTATGGAAAGGTTAGTGACCTTTGTATGCAATTCTCTTCACAGTACTTCTTGAACTCATTCCACGAAAACTCACCGCAACGATCAGATCTTACGAATTTAATATCAAAACCGCTTTGTCTTTCAATAAGAATCTTGAATCTTTTGAGTGTCGAAAACACTTCCATTTGAACAAAACCGGCACATCCCACTCAAGATTGGGTGACTCAACTGGTAAGGAAGGGAGCAAAACTCCTTCTCAACTCGGGTTCGAGTCCTCATTTGGGAAGGAACATTCACATGCGTTTCCCTGATTCTCTAGGAGATGTAGCTGGGCCAAAAATCCTGTGAACTTTCATATTATAAAAAAAGGCGGATACATCCCTTTGAAAACACTTCTATACATCTCGTTCCATATAACAGATAGATGACAAAGGGCGAAAAGTTTGACTCGGTTCATAGAAACTTTCGGTCCAGTATATGAAGAAACGTGACTCATTATCTTCGTATATTGTTGGGGAAATCTGACACAAGAATACGTCAATATGAAACAAAGATGAAAAATGCGACGAGATAGCCTAAAATTGATATTTACATTCAATTGCTTTTTGTAAGAGTTCACTGTAAAATGAAAAAACGAACCTTACGTTTACTAAAATTAAAATGCAGTATAATTTAGGGATCTTGATCTAACCAGAATGAGTTTACAAGAAATGTATTATAATGTTCTTTATACAATATATAAAGCATAGGTACATGGATATGATTTCAGTGTATGTTATCACTTTTCTAAAAACGTTTTTTTTCCATATACTAACACATAGATCTCTGAAACACTCTTTTTATTTTCAATGGATCGTAATCCAACGAAAGAGACGATGTCGAAATGGGGTTGCAAATAAACCATCTTTGTGGGCTATACAACATCCATGACGAATCTCATAACCACGTGTTATTCGAGTGCCAATACTCATATCCTCTATAGTAGAGTGGCCATTTCGGTTAATAACCGAATAACCGAACCGAACCGAATTGAATAAGAGCGGTTTGCTTAATAACCGATCGGTTGAAGAAGTTTTATAACCGTTCGGGTTCGGTTCGGTTAGGTTAATAACCAAATAACTGCGGTTATCCGATCGGTTATGAGGGTTTTTTATAAATGTTTTAAGTTTTAATCTTTCCTCGTTACTTTTCTTACAGCTCGCTTTTAGTCTTTTACCATCCCTCTCTCAGACTCACGCGACCATCTTCGACAAGCTCCGTCTCTCGTCTCGTCGTCGCTGTCGCCGTCACCGTCGAGGGTCTGAATCGCCGTCCCCTCTCGTCTCTCTGTCTCCTCTTGTCTCTCTGTTGCCTCTCGTTTCGGATTCGTGGGTAGGTTGCCGCTTTCTTCTCCAGATTGTCGTCGTCTTCCCTCCGTCGTCGGTAGTCTCATCTCTCTCAGTCTCTGCCATGGCTCTCCATCTTCTCAGGTTCGTTGCCTCTCAATCTTTGTATCGAATCTGTTGACTGGTCCGTCTCTTTCAGTCTCTGTCATGGCTTCTCCGATTTATGTTCCTGAGTCTCATCGGTGGTCTCATCTCTCTTAATCTTTGTATTCCTGAGTCTTGTTCGTCATCTCTTTTGTGTTGTTGTCTTTCGGTATGATATGTTTGAAGTGAAGTTGCCGTTTTTTTAAGCAAAACCTCATAAAGGGAAAACACTTATGGAGCATAAAACACCGAGGGACAGGCAGTTGGGCGTGGCGTAAGCTTCTCAAATTGCGTACACTTGCTGTCTCTTTTCTGAAGTGCAGGGTTGGCAACGGGGACACTTGCAAATTTTGGTTCGATAATTGGCTATCAATTGGACAGTTGTTATCATTCACCGGTGAATTGGGGCCTCGCATGCTGGGAGTTCCTCTATACTCCACGGTTGCCGAAGCCTGCTCTTCCTCGGGTTGGTTGTTGCAACCTGCTCGGACAGATGTAGCAGCTACAATCCATCAGTCCCTGCTGCAACATGCTCACCCTTGCTCCAATTCTGATGCCGACAGATTTTTCTGGTCCGAAACACACTCAGACGGCACCATGCCGAGATTCTCAACCAAGAAGACCTGGTCTTGCATATCACCTCAGTCACCGCAAGTGCCTTGGAGCAAGGAGATCTGGTTCCAACATTCTGTTCCGAAACACTCGTTTATCACTTGGCTGGTGGCTCGAAATAGGCTACCCACTCGTGACAGGGTAATCTCTTGGGGAAGGAATTCACCAAGCAACTGCTTACTCTGTCAAGTTGGCGTAGAGTCAGTCGACCACCTCTTCTTTGTCTGCTCGTACTCCTCCCGAATTTGGCAGCAGGGATTAGCTCAATCGCCCATTCGCCCGTCGTTCCTAACTACATTCTTGGAGACCCTGTCATGGTTGAAGACTTGTACTACCTGCAGGCTTCTGAGAATCATGGTACTACTATTTTTTCAAGCATCTGTGTACTATATATGGCTGGAACGAAATTGCAGGGCACATGACGCGTCTTCTAGGCCGGCAGAGGTTATCCTTAAGGATATTCTCAGACATACTAGACGTAAAATATCATCCTTTCGACCTGATTTCATGGCTAATCCTGACGGTGATTCAATGCTGAGTATTTGGTTCCATTACTTTGACCGATTGTAATCCGCTTTTGATTTTGCGTATCAAATTGCGATGTAACTCGGAATTCTCTTCTGTATTTGGGCAGCGTACATATATACAAATTTACCGTTTAACAAAAAAAAAGAAGTTGCCGTTTTTTATAACGAAGTTGCTGTTTTTTTATAACAGAATTGTGGTGATGGAATTTGAAGTTTTTGTAGACTTTTTTGTCATTTCTTAAGGATTAATCATTCTGTAGACTTAATTTGGGATTTGATCATTTTGGAATACCTCATTTTGGAGGGTTATATTATGATGAAATTTGAAATTTTTGTAGATTTTTTTGTAATTTTTTTAAGGATTACTCATTCTCTAGACATATTTGGATTGATCATTTTAAAGTTTTTGGAAGATTAACAATCTTTCTTTTTTAAATTTATCATAACCGAATCGAATCGATCTAAAACCGAACCAAATAAACCGATAGATTTAATTGTTTGGTTATAATTTAATTGTACAAAACTGAACCGAACCGAAACCGAATCGAACCGAACTGATTAAATCTATATAACTGTTTGGGTATGATTTCTTTGTAACCGAAATAACCGAACCAAAAACCGAAATGACCATCCTTCCTCTATGGATAATGTTGTGTAAGAGATTTGAGAGCCTCAATCCCCCTAGACATTGGGATCAGATTCTCCGGTGCCTCTTCGGGTCTTGGCCCACTAGGTTCCACAATCACCTTTCTGCTGATGTGATTTCTTTGTTTGGTGAAGCGGGCAAATCTCTTGGAAGAAAACTCGTAGCTCTAAGACTTACTAAACCTTCTTTTGCAAGTGAATTGTCTCCCATCTATATTTTGTAGAAATGATTACACGATCTGAACTCTCTCTTGTACATTTTTTTTATTACTAATACAAATATCTTTACCTAAGAAAATAAGACAACGGAAAATTAGTACAAGCTTTTATTATCCTTTGTCCTTACGATAGATGTTGCTACGGGCACTCCGATCTTCTACCAGGACCTCCATAGTAAAAAAAGGCTCCCCGACCACCAGGACGACGGTCCACCGTCCCACCAATCAAAGTATAACAATTTCCGTGAGTGAGTAAAGGAATGAGATTTTCGGCACCGGAGCGGGTTTGATTCGATGTGTCGATTGTCTGTATATTCGAGAAATAAGCAGCTCTTTTAAAGCCTTCGTCGGGCAAATGTCCACTTCCCATCTCCGTAGTTGTGTGTTGTCCCTTACCCTCATTCACAATCTCACCTCCAAAATCAATCCTTCTTGCAAGTTCTCCCATTCCCTTTACTGTTTCCGTGGGCCAGTATCCCACGGGTACCCCATTCAATGCCAGCCACCACTGTTTGTTTACGGGATCCTAATTTACAAGAGATTCGATTATTACATTTGCATGCCATGCAATTTGAACATGACGACTACGTAATAAATGTTATCTTTTGGTAAAAAAAGGACTAACCCTTGAGATTTGGAGTAGGAATTCTTGTTGATCACCGTCATAGATAGATGTAGGACTTATGACACTACCTAAGACGACCTCATTGTTCGTTTGGACAAATCCGGGACAACTATTGTAGCAGCCCGTTTTAACGTATGAATCATCCTGTTTTTGGTAGAATGGGTTTGCTAGTTATACATCTCGTTCGAGGTAAAAGATTTACGATAATGGAACGAAACGTTAGACTTGGTTAGTGAAACTTACAGTCCAGTATACGAAGAAATGCGGCTCTGTGTCTTTATATAGAGCTGGGTAAACCTGATATAAGAACATATAAGAAGAAAACATATGTTGATATTATGAGATGAATATTTTCGTACAACGAGATAGTTTAAAAAAGAAAGAGAAGTACCTGCCAACCAGCTTCCAAGGTGCTGAAACCATTGGCGTGATTGTCACTCACGGCCCACATCTGAGCTAAGCTGAATTCGTTTGTTCCCCACTCGACATAGGGCTTCCATACTGCTATACGTGCCTTTCCTCCAACAACTTCGCCTTGACTTTGTATTAACGCCCACTACCACCCCTCGAAAATGTAAACATTCAAGTTCTAGATCGAGAATAAGGAAGAAGTATAGATATATTTGCAGTGCACTTGTATATACCTCATGCTTATTTGAAATGCCACCATAAGATCTGTTTAGTGGTGGAAGCTGCTTCTTTTTCTTAATGGAAACTTCTCCTAACAAATCTTCTCTTGTCTGTCGTATGATTGGAACGGTGTTCTTCGGGCATTTCCCATCCTTTCGCCAAATATGATTCCACAAACCCAACGATTCATTCATTTTGCGGTAAGCATCTTCGTCTTTGAAACTATTCATTAGAAAGGCGCTTGGTCTCATCTATTTATAATATTGCAATCAAAACAACACAACACAAAGAAACATGAGATTTGAGTGATTAACTTATGAAAAAGGAGTTTTGAATGGTATTACCTTAAGAACAATACAAACACAAACCGCATTGTGAAACATAAGAGAAATGGTTAGTTTATGAAAAATCCCAACACAACTGAAATTTGAATGAGAACTAACTTGGACGGTGTGGTTTTTGAGCAAAGGATGATCCAAACCCGGTTGATCCATGATATGAACACAATCTATTATTCTTCTATCTTGACCCTGTCCGAAAGTGAAAGACAACGATTACACATACACAACACCACAAGTTGGTTACTGATGTTTTGTTTTTAGTTTATGCATTTTATATATCGTGAAATATGTTTGCTATACTTTGTCTACGTACATTTGTGTACATATAGATATACCTGGATGGATTTAACAGGAGTTTTGTTGCGTTGTTTCGACAGTCTTTGAATTTCTTCTTCTGAGATTTTGTGTTTTCCTACAGAATCTACGATTACATTTGCTATTATCACAGAGGCCAACATAAAACTGACTGTCCAATTATTCATGATTATAACAAAATGCTATTCAATCTCTCTTTGAATAATTTGTGACGGGCAGGGGGTTATATATGCAATGTGATCGTGCAATATATGGAATCGAATCTTTATGTTTTTAATATAGGGTTATAAAATGCAGAGAGATCTGATTCTGATAATAAGAATAGGTAAATGTTTAAGTATCGAGATAAATTCAATGTCCATTTTACAAGAGTTTAATGAAAAAGCTAATTTCTCTTTCCTTTAAATTAACCATCTTAACAAAAATATGAAATTCAATCTTTCTTTATTTTCTTTTTTAATTTTGACCAAAAAAATCAAGAAAGAGGAACCATCCATTGTATCAAATGGAACAAAGTTTCTCTTTTGTCTCAACAAATATAAATTAGTTGCTGCTCCGTGTGATTTGTTTTGTAAATTACCTTATGAGAAATTTTTATGATGCAGTTACAATAGGGAATGTCGTAAAAAAAAAGCAAACTATCTAAAGTTTTCAAATAAATAAATAAACTTTTCATTCCGTAAAAAAATGCAAAAAGTTTTGTCATTTTTGTCAAACACCACCACATAACCTAATGTTGTTAGACATTTGAAAAGTTAATTCTAAATATAATTTAAAAAAGCTAAAACTAAAAATTTTAAATATAATATAATATAAAAACGAAAATAAATTTATAAAAATTTAAAAATAATAATAATATTTTAAAACTTAATTATAAATATATTTAAAAATAAAAAGTAAAAAATCTAATATAAAAAAAATTAAAATCATCGTTAGAGGTATTATTAACTTTCAATTAGATCACATCTAACTTTTTTCGATATGGATAATTATAATATCATATTAGAAATCGCTTATGATTTATTAATCGAAATTGGATCTTGGGTTTACATCCGCCTAAAAGGTCAAACACATGGGATTGACGTGTACGTGCGAAAAGGTTGGACAGGAAAAAACGGATATTTCCATGAGTTTACAGCTAGTTCTGAACAAACTAAAGTGAACCATGGGATGGATGCTGTAGATATCTCAATTTCGAGGATTCAAATTGAACCATCATGTGAGATTTCAGTCATGGATAAAATCCAATGACAATTTCACGTACAGATGATCATCCATCAAACCTCATATTAGTCTTAATTCGTCATTATTTCCACAATGACAAGCAACTAAAGAGTTTCATTTATAAAGATCTATGGATGCCATTATTTATCAAATATACAAAACAAATCAATAATGAATAAAGAATGCATTCATCAAATGAATTCATCATAACAATAAAATTTTTTATATGGTACGATCATCATAGAGTATCAAAACCATAAATCTGAATCCTCTCTTATACAATTTTTATTACTAATACAAATACCTTTACCAATCGTATCCATATTTGCCCAATAGATACAATTTGCTCATGGAAAAATTTCATATGGATTTGATGTATTTTATCTTCGACAAATGGACCAGCATTCAATGCGGGTAGAAGCATATGGTTGACCGATTGGTTAAAATCTATTAATGAGGATAGTAATTCATTATTTGCCTCCACATCGGGCAAATTGGGTTAATTATTTATGATTGTATCCGCAATAATATTCTTTTTTAAAATAAAAAAAGAGGTATGCATTGTTATATCCCCTGTTGCAAGATTATTACCAATATAATCACTAAAGGTAAAAGACAATGAAAAATTAATACACGCTTTTATTATCCTTTTTTCTTTACGATAGATGTTACATATTGAATAACATGATATGTGGTTTTGTACGGAGTCCTCGTTATGGGCATTCCGAACTTCTATCAGGACCTCCGTAGTAAAAAAAATGCTTCTAAACCACCATGACACGGTCCACCGTTCCACCAATCAAGGTATAGCAATTTCGGAACGAGATTTTCGATACCATAGTGAGTTTCATTCGATGTGTCAACCGTCTGTATGCTCGAAAAATAAGCAGCTCTTTTAAACCCTTCTTTTGGCAAATGCCCACTTTCCATCTCCGTAGTTGTGTGTTGTCCCTTACCCTCATTCACAATCTCTCCTCCAAAATCAATCCTTCTTGCAAAATCTCCCATTCCCTTTACTGTTTCTGTGGGCCAATATCCCACGGGTACCTCATTCAATGCCAGCCACCACTGTTTTCTTTTCGGGATCCTAATTTACAAGAGATTCGGTTTACATTTGCATGCCATGCAATTTGAAGAATGTGGCAACTACATAATATATGTTATCTTTTGGTTTAAAAAAAAGGACTAAACCTTGAGATTTGGAGTCGGATTTCTTGTTGATTGCCGTCATAGATAGATGTAGTATTTATGACACTACCTAAGACGATCTTATTGTCCGTTTGGACAAATCTGGGACAGTTATTGTAGCAGCCCGTTTTTTTTTTGTTAAAACGTAAATATTATAAATCTGGAAAACAAAAATTACAAAGGAGTATCACAGTTCATGATCATCCCCATTCATAGATTTCCAGTACATAAATAGCAGTCCGTTTTAACGTATGAATCATCCTGTTTTTTGCAGGATGTGCTTCTAGTTATACATCTCATTCGAGGTAAATGATTTATGGTAATGGAATGAAAAGTTTAACTCGGTCTAGTGAAACTTACACTCCAATATATGAAGAAATGTGGCTCGCTGTCTTTATATAGTGCTGGGTTAACCTGATATACGAACATATAAGAAAAAAAAAACACGTTGATATTATGAAGCAAATATATTCGTACAACGAGATAGCTTAGAAAAGAAACAGAAATACCTGCCAACCAACTTCTAAGGTGCTGAAACCGTTGGCGTGGTCGTTGCTCACGACCCATATCTGAGCTGAGCTGAATTCATTTGTGCCTGACTCGACATTGGGCTTCCATACTGCTATACGTGCCTTTCCTCCAACAAGATCGTCGTGACTTTGTAGTAACGCCCACTACCACCCCTCGAAAATGTAAACATTCATGTTCTAGATAGGGAATAAGGAAGAAGTATAGATATATTTCCAGTGCACTTGTATATACCTCGTGCTTATTTGAAATGCCAACATAAGATCTGTTTAGTGGTGGAAGCTGCTTCTTCTTCTTAATGGAAACTTCTCTTAACAAATCTTCTCTTGTTTATCGTATGATTGGAACTGCCTTCTTCGGACATTTTCCATTCTGGTGCCAAATATGATTCCACAAACCCAACGATTCATCCATTTTGCTGTAAACATCTTCTTCTTTGAAACTATTCATTAGAATGGCGCTTGGCCTCATCTATTTATAGTGTTACAATCAAAACACCACAACCCAAAGAAACACGAGATTTGAATGATTAGCTTATGTAAAATGAGTTTTGAATTGTATTTACTTTAAAAAAGGCACAACAAAACCACATTATGAAACATAAGAAAAATTATTAGCTTATAAAAAAATCCCAAAAAAGCTTAAATTTGAATTAAAACTAACTTGGATGTGTGGTTCTTGAGCAAATGATGATCTAAACCCAGTTGATCCCTGATATGAACGCAATCTATTATTCTTCCATCAGGACCCTGTCCGAAAGTGAAAGACAACAATTACACATATATACACAACAACACAAGACATTTTACGTATCGTGAAATATGTTTGCGGCGGCCGCCGTCCGCCAACCCAACTGCATCGCAATGGCTCGGAAAAGAAAACCCAATCCATCATCAACCTCCCAGAAGAAAGGTACTGCTCCCCCTAAAGCTGGATCTGGCCAGAAAAATGAATCTGGTGAGTTCATCTCTAGTAACATACTGGTTCCCCTGAATCTGGCTCCTTCGGAACGCAGCCCTTCTGTCACTCTTCCACCGACCTCCTCTACATCGGAGGACGAACCTCAACCTACTGACCTAACGGAGGCATCGCCTACTGAGGTCGGGCCTCAACACCCTGCTCTAGCAGAGATACAGACGGCCCCGAACGTAGCGACTCCATATTACTCAGAGTTTCCTCCCCTGCCCACAGTGTCGTCCTTGGGCTCAGGCACCTCTGCTCAGAAGACTCATCTGACAGGTTATACTCAGGTACAACCGTCGACCTCTCAGACCCATACCACCTCCCCGGGCAAATCTTTCCCCTGGGCACAACGTCTTCGTGCATCCTCCAGGAATTTGAGTCGAGTGGCAACTCCCAAAATGTCTGCGGAAAGCACGCCAAGAATCCGTGTACCTAGCTCGGTACTGATTGAGGCCTCTAGAAATTGGAACGGCTATTTGGTGGGACACATCTACGGTCTTGCTCCGACAGGCTCAAAGCTCTTCCAAATTCTGAACCCGATATGGGGAAAGCGGTCGAAAATTCATGTTCGCCGAATTAACGATACTTCTTGTCTTTTCCACATCCTAGATTTGGCGACCAGGGAATGGGTACTTGAAGTCGGGCTCTGGAGGGCTGCACACGTAATGTTTATGGTTGCAGAATGGTCGACTACAGCCACCCTCCGAAAAACAACCTTCACATCGGCTCCAATATGGGTGAATCTTACCAACATACCGGCAGAGTTGTACTCGCTGAAGGGAATCAGCTATATTGCTTTGGGTATTGGTGAGCCTTTACATACTGATAAGATGCGACTAGACCCACTAAATGTTGGCCAGACAAAGGTTAAAATCGAGGTTCAGCTTGACGCTCCGCTTCCTGAGATCGTTGAGGATGAACAAGGGTCGGTTGTTACGATAAATGCCGATAACCCATGGATCCCATCGAAATGTATTAGATGTGGGGAATTTGGCCATGGGGTTCACCGTTGTCACTTAAAGGAGATAAAATCTAAGGAAGTTGTTGTAGACCCTGCGGGACTAACCGCAAATGAGGACGTGGCCACCTTGGTTGAACCTCAGCCAGAGGTAGGCTCGCCACAAACAGTTTTACCAACGCAGCAGTTGTCTGCACAGCGGATAGTTGATACTAGCACATATACACCACGACATACTCCGTTGGTTTCAAATCCATCGCAAGTCATTCCATCTCAGCCGACTTCTATTCCAGAAATTGAGATTATCCCTGAAACATCACAATCCCCTCTACCTTGTCAACCCGTCCTTCCATCACTTCCAACTCACGTTTCTCCGCATAGGGAATGCATGCTTGACTCGGAAGAAGAACTTGTTGAAGGCAGTCAGCTAGTTTCAACCTCACCCTCTCCGCATAATCCAGACCTTGCGTCGCCTACTTCCACCAACCACATAAATGGAAATACTATTTGTCCAAAATTCCGTTTTGACTCAGATGAAGAACTAGTGGCAGAAGCACAAAGAATTCTACGAGCTCGTTCCTCCACTGCTGCTAAAGTCCAAGGAGCTCAGCGTGTTCTACATCCTCGTGCTGTCAACATACCTCTAGATCCCACGGATTTCACACTGGTCGGAAAAGCTCGAAAGGGAAAAGATAGACTTTAGTGTCTCTTACCATCCAACATCAAACACTTGCGACCCACATTGCTCACTTTCCGATGCCGTACTATTTAATTTTCAATCTTTTTTAGTTTATTATTCTCGTTTGCTATTATGAATTCTAATATCTGTATTACCTTTTGGTAATCTCTTTGTACGGTCATTTATATATATAATATTTACCATTACCAAAAAACAAAAAAAAGAAATATGTTTGCTATACTTTGTCTACATATGTGTATGTATAGATATACCTCGATGGATTTAACATGAGTTTTGTTGCGTTGTTTCAACAATCTTTGAATTTCTTCTTCGGAGATTTTGCGTTTTCCTACAGAATCTACGATTACATTTGCTATAATCACAAAGGCCAACATAAAACTGGCTGTCCAATTATTCATGATTATAACAAAATGCTAACGATATTCAATCTTTCTTTGAATAATTTGTCAAGGGCCGGGGGTTATATATACAATGTGGGCGGGCAATATATGGACTTGAACCTTTATGTTTTTAATATGGGATTATATAGATGCGGAGATCAGATTCTGATAATAAGAATAGGTAAATGTTTAAATAAATAAGAATAGGTATATAGATGCAGAGATCAGATTTTGCATCAACAAATATAAATTAGTGGCTGCTCCTCGTGATTTGTTTGTAAATTACCTTAATATGTTGCTCGGCTATATATATATACTATGGACTTCTATAGAAAAACGCTTACTAATGAAGCTAATCACACTATTAAATGTATAAATTGACGCAATTTTTTTTTTCTGTGTGACAATATGGACTGAAATCCATTTATATTTACGAAATAGTAATAACACTTGGTATTTATCTTATGTGAATATTTATCATGCAATGTAAACTTAAAAATATGGTAAATTATCTATGGCGGACCTACTTATACATATAAGTGGTGTCACTTGCCCCCATTCACATTTTAAAAAAAGAAATATTACTTATAGTTTTAATTAAATTGTAACAATGCCCCACTAAAATTTAAGTGATGAATCCTCCATTTTTTTTAAACCTAAATCTTCTTTTCAATTTTTTCTTCAACCAATTTCACATTTCCCTTCATTTTTTTAAATTTTTTTCCAGCTCCAAATTAATTCTATTTAATCTTTTATCAAATAAAAAAATTAGAAATTCAATAATAATCAAATCCAAAAAACCGAAACAACCAAAAATATGTAAGTATTTTGAATTTTATTTTAAATAATTTTTTTACATTTTATTCATTTGTTTTTATATTTTTATCATATTAATAAATTTGTTTTTATATAAATCTCATAATTGATTTAATAGAGAAATCAATTAATAAATTTTTTAAAAGAAATTTTACAGTGTCAAAATTTAATGATTTATTTAACGAGATATGTTTAAAATTGTTCACTTATATGGTAGCTTTGAGTACTGTTAAAACAGTTTTGTGCAATCGTATTGATGATAACTTTTTGAGTGATTGTCTAATTTGTTTAATCGAAAAAATATTTTTAACCGTTATAAATAAATTTTTTATGGATAGATTTTAAAAAATAAAAAATCATAGAATTTATTTGTAAAACGATGAATATTTTTCTGATGATATATTTTTCTATTTTATGTAATATTTATAATTGTTGACTCCATTGAAAAATTTTCTGGATCCGCCATGACTAAAAAGGATAGCTATTCACTTGAGGAGAAATGCATAAATCCAGCTATCATTGCAGCAGATAACTCTTTCAATTTTGAATAAATATTGGATAGACTTCAATGATACCCGGAAACTCGAGACCCGACCCAAATCCCTCAAAATGCTGTATTAGTTTGATTTTTATGCAGGTACTGATTCGACTTATTATATATTTATTTATTACAAAACACAGGATATATATATATATATATATATATATATATATATATACTCATCTCCAATCTATGAGACTTGCTCGTTTAGCTTGATTCGAGACTATAATGCTTGGCCACTATCCGGGGTTTCCGATATTTTAGCCACCAATCTCGGGTTATCAGTTATGGAAGTTTTTTTTTAATTTAATTTAATTTTACGTGAAGTATTAAAGGAGCCGAAATATGAGGAGAGAAGGCACAATAATGGGAAAAACAAAACATAATCACACATAAAACGCCCGTATGGCATGCAAAGTTCAGCATTTATTCGACGACAAGTCCAAACGTGGTTTGGTTATTACAAGACATCACACCATACAAATATTCCGCTCTCTGGATATAATTCAAAGAGTACATGCACGTTTTACATGTGCGACCATATAGATGCATACATTTCTTTCTCATGGGCAGCTAGGGTTTCTACCAGGACCACCGAAGTAGAAATAAGTCCCCCACGTTGCGTTTGTGGTGCCGACGCGGATATCGTAGCAATTCGGCCTCGGGGCGAAGGTCAGAATCGTTGGCGGATTTACGAGAGCGCGAGAAGCATCGACTATCTGAACGTTCCTGAATAAGGCTGCCCTTTGGAACCCTTCTTCTGGAAATCGCCCGCTTCCCATATTCGTAGCTGTGCTTTGCCCATACCTTCTTTGGTTCAGAACTTCGCCTCCCCATTGTACTTGCGTCGCTCTACCTGCTAGAGTGCTGAACAATGACGACGGCCAGTAGCCGACGATTATTCCGTCGAATTGGAGCCACCAATTTCCTGTTGGTACGTCCTAGAATTAAGAAAACGTTTTCTGGTCATCGATGTATGCATCAAATTTTGATGTTTATGTAGCAAAAGAATCCGACATTTACCTTCCATACTAGCAGATTGAAACTGTATTGGGTACTTCCGTGCTCGGATATCCGATCGATGGTTCCACCAAGAGCGATATCATCGCTCGTCTGAATAAAGCCTGAGCACCGAAGATCGAAACAGCCTGTGGTTTGGTAATTGTCACGCTGTTTTCAAGTTTCCAAATTTGCGTAAGAAAAAAAAATATAGTGAATATAAATAAATCGATATGTCAATAAGAAATAAGATATAAAAACACAACTGTTAGAAAAAATCTTACTGTCCATGAAATAAAAAATCTCGTGTTATAGTCACCATACAAGTTTGGATGGACCTGTGTATATATATATAGATATTAGCATGTGGTAAAGGAAGAAACAATGTATGATTATTAATCAGGACTATAAAGATATATAACTTAAATGTGAGAAAACTTGTACATAATTCATCGTGGTGAATTAGAATAAGACCTGCCATCCAGCTTCGATGATGTTGATATTAGAACCACTTCGGGCGATAACCCAAGTCTGGGCCGAACTAAACTCATCAGGTTGTTGGACAAAGGGATTCCAGACATTGATAACGGATCTCGAACCGTAAAAATCGCCAGCCTCCTCCGTCTTGATAATGGCGAGCTAAAGCAGCTCCAAACACAAAATGCCAAATCAGGATTAAGAAATGAAGACACAGTCAATCAAATGTGGGCGTCGCGCGCGCACACACACACACACATATATATATATATATATATATATATATATATATGAATATACCTCACTGAGGGCAGCACCTAGATCACTTGATACCACTTGCTGGATGATTTTGCTATTCTTTTTTCCGAAACTTTCCAGGGAAGTTGATCTTAAGAGATCTTCTTCTTTCGTTCTTCTGATCGGAACAGTGTTTTTTGGGCACTCTCCATTCCTCCGCCAGAGCTGACGCATAGCCTTTGGTTTTTTCCCGGTGTTTAACGTAAGATCGCCTTCTGGTTCCGAGCTTGGCCTCATCTGCTCAAATTAATTCCAAACAAAAAAAAAAATAGCACGCACTATGGATGCATATTGGGAAAAGCCAGCCGAAAAGGGAAGAACAAGTTTAAATTCTTAAAAAACCTGGATGACGTGGTTTCTCAGCAAAGGATGATCAAAAGCTGGTTGGTTGGCGATAGGAACGCAATCTATTATATCTCCATCAGGACTCTGCCCGTACACATATGAAAGAAAAAAAGAATGTTAACCTCGAGGGTTTCAAGTCTTGAGCGAGAGTTTCATGCAGTGGAATACATACTTGGTCATAGAAACCAAAAAAATAGAAACAATCGTAAAAAGCAATAGAACAACGTTAACGTATGGCTGTACGGACCTGGATAGATTTAACGGCGGGCTTGTTAAGTTGCTCCAACCGTCCACTTACTTCAGCCTTCTGGACATTGGAGACTTCAGCTGCTCCGACAGAAGCTGTGATGATGGCGACAGCCATTACCATAACCTGTAAACCGGTCACCTTAAGATGAGGAGCCATTACTAAATCCAAGAACTCAACCCGATCTTCCTTTGATATGTCCTCACTTAACTCTCTTGCAAAAACCATTGGAAAGGGTGTGCTGTATTTATAGGCATGGAGTGCTTGATTTTACACAATGTGAAAAAACAGTTAGTATATTCATTTTTTAAAATTATAAAAAAATATACCGCAGTTGGTGTATGTATTTGCAAATTTATCTTTAGCCATATATTTATTTGAATATATATTAATTGAGTGTTTTTGTAAAGCGACTGCTTGGATATATATGTAATTTAATTGAATTTAGGTGGAGCATTAAATGGCTGAAATAAAAGTATTGAGAGCCCACCGTATGGCTACATTCCACATATTTTGGCATATGTTAAGCATTCAACCTTGAACAAGTCAAGACCATTCCATCCTCGTTCTTTCATAAATCATCAAACCCGATATATGTAATAATATCATCACTTAGACTAAAAATATTCTTATGAGATATAAATTTTATGTGCATATATTCCTTCTTGTACCTATTAAAACGCAAGATATCACGTAACGAATTTTAGCATATTCGTATAACATAACCTATATTAAATCTCTATAGTTATATATACAGAACAAAAACGTAAATTATCGAAGCTATTTCTCATGCACGTTTTAAAGAAGCAAACTACTTTTCGAGAGTGAGGTCACAATAAATACGTGTGGCTCTTACTGAATGATACTATATAAACTTTATCGGTGTATGATTAAATACGTTTGTTTTATATTTTTGTTGCAATGTGGACTGAAAGAACACGTAGGTTTTGCTCGTTGTCCATGTTTCTGGGACCATATGTGTGTCCATGAATAATCCATATGGCCAGCCTTTCTATCGAATAACTGTATATTATGTTTAATAACAGAAGGCATATATATGTGATATGCAGCATAATTAATTCTTCGATATGTTAAATCTTAAAAATGTCACTAAAGAAACATTAATGATCATAAACTGACAAAAAATGAATAAATTATTACTAAGGGATATAAACTATATACAATAAGACAAAAAATGTGAATTTTCGTAACTTAGTAATTCTATTTCTTGATCTAAGAATCTCAAACAACGTTCGGCGTTATAACCTATAAGATTTAACCAAACAGATGTTTAGATTTTGGCCGACGATTTGGTCCGCTGGATTATCATATGTATAACCAACTCGATAAAAAAAATGGCCAAACAAAGGCGTATGGGGCAATTCAAAACTTATTCAAAAATAATTTAATCGATGGCATGTCAAAGACACGGTCTAGTTGCCAGATGAACAATTTTATATCTTAAATATGGAGTTTCCAATTGGTACAGTTAATGATCTATTTTTTTCCTCTCATTGTGTAGTTCAAGCTTGTACGTAACAGTGCAAAATGGTCCACCCATTCGCCGCCCCTTCACAATGAAAACGTGCAAAACGCACCAGCGAGCAGTAGTTTTGATTATATACGTAAACTAACATAATTGGTTGTAAATAAACTCGTTCAATAAAAGTTTTAGATTATATATGTACATAAATGTAATTATAACTTCTATGACAATTGGTAAGTTATTGAGCAGTAGTTTTTTATAATAGGTTTTTTTTTTTTTTATAATTATAACATATTCAAAAAATCACAATGTATTATAGTTTAGATATGGATATGCACTACTTGTACACTACATGTGCACTACTTGTACACTACTTATATACCTTGATTGATTTAACAAGTTTGTTGATTAACTTCTCAAGTATATTTCAATCTCATCCTAAACTAGTGTGGATACAATTGTTGGTTCATTTTACTAATAAGTTGATTGGAATGTGAAAATAGTAAGGAATATTAGGAAAATGTAATCCAAGTTCAAGATAAACAATAGTATATTTTCCATATGAATCCGATAAACGTTTCTAATAAAATCAATCAATTCCATGCATATATATATATATAAATATAAAAGGATAGATTTTACCGCACGTTTATTTAGTTGATACAATTTCCTAAGCATTTTGGCCTTTCGCACACCAGCTCCGACAAAAACTTGGAGTATAGCCACAATCATTACCATAATATATAAGCCAAATTAGAATAAGACCTGCCAACCAGCTTTTATAGTGTTGATCACAACCACTTCTGGAGGCAACCGATGTCTGGATCAAACCAGACTCATCGGGTCGTTGGACTAAGGGTTTCCAAACATTGATGATGATTTCTTACCGTAAACCTTGTTGTTCAATGCTTACATTGTTCTGTGCTAAAGCAGAACTAAAAACAAAAACGATCAAATGAAGGTTAAGTAACGACTGCTGCCTCGTGGACAGAAACACCTAGACCACTTGATATAACTTGTTGGATGCTTCTCTTTTTCTCGAAACTCTCGAGAGAAGTCAACCTAAAGAGATATCCTTCTTTTGTTCTTCTCACCATAATTGTGTTTTTCGCTCACTCTCCATACATATGTCACAGCTGACATATACCCTTCGCCTTATCATCAGTGTTGTCTACAAGGTTGTCTGCAGGTTCGAAAGTTGATCTCATCTAATAGTTAAAAAAACCATTTCTAAGCATATTCAACCGCCATCTGTGGTATTAGTATATAAAATCATTGGGATATTTATTTATTATTATCATTATTTGATGTAATATTTAGGATCCATGAAAGTTTTCCACGACATCTAAACACTCATAGAAATAAATCAACCAATATGTAATATATATATATATAGTTTAGTACAAAAATATTTTATATATTTAGTTTATGATTTGCAAATACTCAATGATCAAAAGTGGGTTGGTTATATATATAAACACAATATATTATAGTTTATATATGGTTGTGCACTACTTGTGCACTACGTGTACATACTACTTATGTACTTTGATTGATTTAACAGCGGGTTTGTTGTTTAGTTACAAGTATCTTTCAATCTCATCAGAATCTAGTGTGGAAGAAGTTGAGATCATCAACATCATGATGTAAGAAATCAATAGCTTTGAGATTGTTGTTATTTTTCGGGTGACTTAATGTTTTGGATTTTTAGGCATACAATTGTTTGTTCATTTTACTAATAAGCAGAGGCGGACGTACGTGTAAAGGAGTGAGGTCCCGTGCCCCCACTCAAAAAACTTAAAAAAAGTTAATGCATTTATAATTTTTACAAGGTTTCAAGAGAGTTAAAGAGTGACCCCGTAAATTTTTTATGTGGGCCCCCTGCCATCTTTTTAATTTCTATTTTTGTATTATATTTTTATAAAAAAAATAGGTTATGTATTTTTTAGTCACCGCGGATTTTAGATCTTTTACTTTTATTTTTTCTTTTTTAATTTAAGATTCTTTCCTAATACAAAATTATTTTGAAAAGTATTTTTCTCATACAAAATTACTTTAAAAAATCACAATTATAAATATAATATTTAGTTATAGTTTCCATTGTTTCTGTCTATTTTTAATCTTCCATTTTTTTTCTCAATTCTCTTCAAGATTCTCTAAATCTGGTATTTAATCATATAAAAAATAAAAAACAACTAAATTAAAGGTATATAAGTGATATAGTTTTTATTTGAAATAATTTTATTTTTTATTTATTCATCAATTTCTATATTTTGACTATATTTATAAATTTGGCTAATATTAGAAATCTTTCTCGTCTCATGGTGAAAACAAAAAATATCTTTCATATGTATCAGAAATTTTAAAATTGATATAAATTTTGTTCGTTGTTACCGCGACTGTTGAAAGATGTTTTCTAATAATGAATTTTGTAGTGATAGTTTTGTGCAACCGGATTGGTGATCAATTTTTAAGTGATTGTTTGGTTTGTTTTATCTAAAAAAAATATATTTTTACAAATAAAATTTTTATGGATATATTTCAAAATAATAAGAATCATATAATTCAATTTTAAAATATATATATTTTTATGATAATATATTTTTATTGATTTTTATATTATATATATAATAATATGCTCCCAGTGTAAATTTTTTCTAGATCTGCCACTGCTAATAAGTGGATTGAAATGTGGAAATAGAAAGGAATATTAGAAAAATGTAATCCAACTTCAAGATAAACAATAGTACATTTTCCATATGAAGATTCCAATAAACATTTTTAGAAAAATCAATCAATTCCATGCACATATATATTTTTGGGTATGATGATTTATTATAGCTCCTGTATTTTCCACACATTACATCCGTTGTTAAGAATACCGCATAAAATGTAGTGGGCTTCTTATAGGGTGTATCATCCATTTCATTGCATAAGGCCCACATTTTAAGGGCCCAATAATTTATAAGTAAAATAGTAATTTTAATTCTTTACAAAAAAAAAAGGATTAATTAATTTTAAAGGATCATAAAAATTTTATAATTTAATATTTATTATCTTTGGCGGTTTGTTATCTACATTTTCTATATGAATAAGAAAGCCATCCTGGGAAAAAAAGTAAGAACAATCTTTTGAAGATAAAACAAATTATTTTACCTTTCAGTCATTGACATCTAAATATTAGTCATAATTTCATGATGGAAAAATATCTTATTTTTTAAAATGTTTAATATTTGTTTCTAAATTTTATGTTTCTGATAAATAAAAAAATTAATGCAGAGAAACCTATTATTATTTAGTGTTTCTAACAAAATAATTTTCAATTGGATTACAAAGTTATTTAAAATACTATTATTCATATTAATTTTTTTACAATATTCAAATACAATATAATGTTTCTAACAATATAAGTGCAACAAGATTCATGGTTCACAAAGTGTCCCATGCAACGAGACATCTAAATACGTACAGTTTGTTTGCTTTTTTTTCCCCCGAAAAAAAAACACAAGAAAAATGAAGAAAAGTTTATGTACTAACGGAAAGAGAAAATACAATTTTTTGAAACGGGGAGAAAGAATACGATATCGGTTCATTGCCTTTTTTTTTTTTTGATAAAAAATGTGATTGAATTACTCCCAAAAGAACCGTGTACAAAAATAGTTCGATTACATCAGTCATTATACCAAAAGTATAATAGGAATCCCATGCGCAAACGGGCAAAAGGTTTTATCTGGAGCTAGCTAATTTGATACCAATGTTGAAGGATTTCATTCATGCCTGTAACCTCCGGACGGTGCAAGGAGAAAAGAATATTTCTCATGGATCTGTCGATCTTGAGCTGTAGTTGATGTACCGAATGCCAAATGTTTTGGTGAACTCGTCCATTACGCTCCCTCCATATCTCGTAAGCTACTAGTTGGATAAGCACCTTCCTCAGAAGTCGTAGGTACTTGAATTGTGAATTCCCAACCTGTTGAATCCAATGGTGGGCTTGTTGTATGGCTGTAGGAGGATTCGTAGGTACTTGAATTGTGAATTCCCAACCTGTTGAATCCAATGGTGGGCTTGTTGTATGGCTGTAGGAGGATTCCTTCCAAGCTTCCCTGCAATATTCATTGCCTTTATCATGTAATAACTAAGTTTGACGGTTACTTTACTTTCGTGTGTATCTAAGTATGCATTGCTGTAAGAACACATGTGGAAGGTCTTCAACGAAACCCGCTGGTTCTGGTAGAAGGTCTGGGCGAAGTAGAAGTTCAGAGGCAAAAGGGTAACCTTGTATGGTCATTTAATGAGCCAAAGGGTTAGGGTTTTGCTCAGTTTTTTCCTGGTTCTCCATCTTTGTACGCTCTTGTGTGGCGAGGCGATTCTCGTTTCTCTGTTTTCGGTGCCGCCGTTCGGCAGTTTTGGGCGACGGTCTTTGTCTGTAACCCTATATCGAACACTTTCTCTTCCCGAGATGTAGGTACCGAGGATCTCCTCGATACTAAATCCGTACCTCTCTGTCTCTTTTCGTTCATCTTTTTGTTCTGATCAAACGAGAGCAAATCGGAGTGAGATTGGTGAGGAATCGAAGGCCCGGAACAGGGCCGTCTCATAGAGTGTTCCATTCGTTCATTGGCACAGGTCCCCAAAATTGAAAGGGCCCCATATTTTAATTTGTTTTTATTATAAAAAAATTAATTTGAATTAAATTATATATAACACATAAAACCATTACCAAAACTCTTCACAAATATAAATTATTTATAGTTATAATAAAATATTTTATTTAAGATACTTCTAAATTATTTATTTTCGCTATTTTATTTTAAAATTTTATTGATAATAAAAATAATAAATAATTTAAAATTACATTTTTTTTATCTAAATTTAAATGAAATATAAATATAATAACCTTTAATAATAAAGAAGAGATGTACAATAACAAAAAATTTGAAATATTATTTATAATTTAATATAATTATAACTTATTCACTTTTTTTTTAAAAAAATCATGTTATTATCAAATCATTTTTTATTTTTAGATTATAATCATTTATATTAATATATTAATATTTTTCACAATATGAAAATTGTTTAGGCCCCAAATATTTTTCAGATTTACATACGTCGTTAGAATGTTTCCGATTTTTCAATTCTTACATATTCAAAACAGAGAAAGAGATTTCCTTGAGAGGAATTTGTGAGACTGCGAAAGATTTGTGAGAGTTAACAAAAGGGCGATCGAAAACCGGTTGATTAGTGATAGAAACACAATCAATAATATTATCTCCATATATATACACACAGCAATCGTCGCGATTAGTCTGAAAGTCTTATCTTCACGAAACTAATTAAGAAAAGCGGCGCAGAACACAGTTAACAAAGGCTGGAGATGGGAGCGAGCGGGAAGTGTTAGTTTGATCAGTTAAAAAAAATAACAGAAAGGAACTTATGTTGCGGTGTTCCACATGGGTTATGCGATTGGTATTCGTACTTTTCGGACATAAGTATGTACATTTATATACGTACGCATGTGTGCAATGGTGTGCGTGTGTATATATATGAATATGGTTTTTGGATTTATATTCTCAAAATTAAATGCACAATCATATAGAAAAATATTTCAAGTCTATCATCATTGTATTCGTGACAATGGATAGAGAGTTGATAAGCTCATGGGCACTCTTCGTGCCTGCCCGGGCCTCCGTAGTAAAAACCGGTTCCCTCGGGGAACGTCGAAGCGTACAACGTGTAACAATTTCCGTTAGTGACTTTTGGTGTGAAGCTTCCGAGATCGTCGTGGATGTCATTCGACAAGTCGACGGCCTGTATGTTCAAGAAATAAGCCGCCTTACCGTACCCTTCGAGCGGAAAGTGACCGCTCCCCATCTCCGTGGACGTGTGCTGTAGCTTATTCTCATTCACAATCTCGCCTCCCAAATCAAACACTTGTGCACCTTGGTCCATTTCCGGTACTACATCTCCGCGCCAGTATCCTATGTGGTGCCCAGCCATTAATAGCCACCAGTCTCTGGTTTCGAGGTCCTAATTCACAAGAGATTCGACGATTCCGATAATCCATTCTTTATATACATATACATATAAGAGAAAAGGAACTTACCATGGAGATTTCCAAATCGAAATAAATATCCAAACCATCATAGACGGATATAAGTGGTAAGGCGCCGCCGACGATCATTCGGTAGTCGGTTTGAACAAAGCCGTAACATCTCAAATTGTAGCAGCCCGTGCTTCTGTATGCATCAGCCTGTTTTTCTTGGTCGAATTGTAAACCGCCTTTGGTATAAAAGATAGATGACAAAGGAAGTCCGTACGTTTAGATAAACTTACTGTCCAGTATGTGAACAAATGCGTTCGATCGTCTCCATATATTCCGGGGTAAACCTGATACAAGAATTCATGTTAATATGAAGCAAAGATGACAATACAAAGAGATAGCCAAAAACAAAAACAAAAACAACCTGCCAACCAGCTTCCAAGGAGTTGGTGATCCGCTGGTCACTAGCGAGCCACATCTGAGCCAAGCTGAATTCATTTGCGCCCGCCTCGACCTTTGGGTTCCATACTCCTATACGCGCCTTTGCTGCCATGAATTCTCCTGTAGTCCCCATCACTGCGTACTAAAGCCCCTCGAAAAATGCAAACATGCAAGTTACTGAGTGTAGGATATGTTGGTACTGTTCCGTGACTCAGAAACTAAAGATATATGATGAAGCGGTTATGGAAGAAGTTGCAAAGGCAGCGGTCACGGAAGAAGTTTGTGCGTAGTTTTTGTTGGTTAGCGTTCTATATAAGAACAAGTGTCGGATGTTGTGGAATTTGTTTCAGTGTTCATTTACTGTCGTATTGTAATGTACGTATATGCATTGTAATGTAAATTTGTGTAATGTATGTGAGTTATGAATGATTCTAATAAGCAAGATATATATATACATACATATATAAATATATGTATACCTCGTGCTCATTTGGGTCATCTTGCGCAACATAAGATCCGTTTAGTGGTGGAAACTTCTTCTTCGGCAGGGAAGCTTCCCTTATCAAATCTTCTCTTGTCGTTCTTATGATTGGAATGGTGTTCTTCGGGCATCTCCCGTTCTCGTTCCAAAGTTGATTCCACATGGCATCCATTTTCCGATCCGAATCCACATGTTTGGAATGAGTTTTAGGTAAGGCGTTTGGCCTCATCTATTTATGGTAGTATTATGGTTAAAAACAAAACAACATAAGGAAACATTAGGGCCAACCTCATTATGGAAACTAAGAGAAATGATTGCCTTACGAAAAAGAAAACTAACTCGGACAGTGTGGTTCTTTAGTAAAGGATGATCCAATCCCGGCTGATCCATGATATGAATACAATCTATTATTCTTCCATCTTGACCCTGTCCAAAAATGAAAGACATCAGTTTATACACAACACAAGTTGGTTACTGATGTTATATATATATATATATGCATATACATATGTATGTATGTATGTATGTATACCTTGGTGGATTTGACAGGAGTTTTGTTGCGTTGCTTCAATAGTCTTTGAATTTCGGCTTCGGAGAGTTGGCGTTTTCCGGCAGAACCTACGATTACATTTGTTATTATCATAAATGTCAGCATAAAACTGGCTCTCAGAATATTCATCATTATATCAAAATGCAAACGATGCTCAAACTTTCTTTGAATAATATTGTCATTGGGGGTTGGCTATATATATATAATAGGATTTGTATATGAAAACGCTTAATATTGAAACAAATCGGAATATTAAATATATAAATAATTAACAATTGTTTTTCTATAAGAAACATAACATATATGGAAAACAATAATAGTTATTATTAAATCCATAAGTTTTATTTACAAATACGTAAGTACATGCCATATTTCTTATATGAATATTCATCATACAATATACACACACAATAACATTTTGTATGGAAAAATCTTTATAGTGAAACTAATCTCATTACTAAATGTATAGTTATTCAAAAATATTTTTTTTCTATAACAAGAATAAAATATAGGGAAAACAATAATAGGGATTCGTATCCATATTTTTTTATTCATTTTATTTACAAAATAGTATGTAAACATTTATCACGCAGTGTAAAATTTTAAATGGTAAATTATATATTACTAAAAAGGATAAATTAAATATTTAGGATAAATGTATTCAACTATCATTTTGTAAGATTTCAATTCTGACAAATATTGGATAGACTATTTGATCTATCTTATGAATAATTCATCTGAATATATGGAATGTAAAAAAAATAGTAAAGTAAGGAAATATATATCTGATAAAAATGGATAATTGTAAATTTATGGGAGAAAGCATAAAATAGAAGTATAATTTCAAAAAAAAAAACAATAGCTATCTCAATTTTGATTTTTACAAAGATACTGACCCAAAATTATCATATAGTTCTTTCACAAGGACCACCATAGTAAAAGTAAATTCTGAAAGATTTGGTATACCCTTTTTCGCGAGTTAATTGTTGCAACTATGGTTTAGCCCTTCGGGGCCAGGTCAAGTGGCAGAAGGCAGGGGGGCAACTCCTTGAGGTGGGGGGATCGATTCCTTCCGCCGCTCCTTCTTCCATCTGACCTGCTCGCCTGCCAGCCTGTCATAACGGGCTGATTTAGTTTAGCCCTTCGGGGCCAGGTCAAGTGGCAGAAGGCAGGGGGGCAACTCCTTGAGGTGGGGGGATCGATTCCTTCCGCCGCTCCTTCTTCCATCTGCCCGCCCCCCCTGCCAGCCTGTCATAACGGGCTGATTTACCTCCCACGTGTGTGTCGCAGGCTCGTGTGCGTGGGCTTGGGGTTTGATCTGCAGGCGCCTAAGCCTGATAGCATACATGGACATACTCAAGATATGGAACATGGATGCGATACTCAGACAAGGCAAGACCAATCTCACATCATGGAAAGTGGAAGATATGCTGATAATACAGGAAATCGGCATACTGGAGCACACACAATATTGTCAAATATTGCTGATTGATTCTTTCCCTTCTTTACCCAATAGGTTAACGTTAGAACAATGTTTATATAGACCCTTGTATCATAGGAAATATACACAGAAGAGAACAAGTTTTGTTCACTGATTCATCTCCTCTCAATACTCTGTTTTCGATATTGATCTGAAAACTTTCATGGTATCAGAGCAATGACGAGACCAGTTCCTTTTCCATCGTTTTTTTTCCCTTCTCCGTCTACACCATCTCTTCTTGTCTCTATTCTCTGGTAGTTGCTGGCCATTCCTCTTCTGCCGAAATGGAATCTCAAGCCAAGCTCATTCCAGTTGTCCTTCATGGCGATAATTATTTTTACTGGTCCAAAGCCTCCAAGGCTGTCCTTAAGAGCAAAAGGCCTTTGGACACACATCCTCCAATCCGAATGGACACCAACGCCTATTATGGCTCCTACAAATCCTGAGATGCTGGCTCCGGTGGTTGATCACACTGGTGAACGCAGCAAATGGAATCAACAAGACCAATTGGCACTGACAATTTTGCAAAGCTCCTTGGATGAGCACATTCTCAAATCCTTCATTGCCCCGGAAACGGCCAAAGCTCTGTGGGACGCGTTAGAAAAGGTTTATGGTAATCAATCCAACCTCTGTCGTGTTTTTGAAATTAAGAAGCAAATGACTAACTTGCAGCAAGATGGAAAACCATTCAACATAATTCATGGGGAATTTACTGCCCTATGGACTGAACTGCAAGATCTCCGTCCTCCATCTCCCGATGTGGAAGAATTCAAGAAGCGAATGGAAGAAGATAAAATCTTCTCTATTCTCTTGACCCTTGACAGCTCGTTTAACAACATGATCTACCACATTTTGCGCCAAGAGAAGCTGAACTCTTATGATGAGATATGTATGCTGATCAAAAGGGAAGAGGGAGGGAGGAATCTCTTTGGTGGCCCCAGTGAACTTGCACATTTCAGGCAGAACATCAACCCGACTCCTGCAAATGAATCTGCACATTTTCGACAAACCAACAACTCCCTTACTACTCCAAGAGAGAAACGCAACTACTTCTGCGATCATTGCAAAAAAGCGGGACACTCAAAAGAAAGGTGCTGGTTACTTCATCCACATCTAAAACCAGCAAAGTTCAAAGACAATACCTCTGTTCGTGGCAAAGCTCACTCGGCTGAATCGGTCACACTCACCCCATCTGACATGACAGAACTGAAGCAAATTCTCCTTGCCTTAAAAGACAAGGAGGCTGGTAACTTCTCTTCTTCCCAATCTCCTCTCATGCATTCTCTTGTCATTGATTCTGGAGCTACTAGTCATATGATAAGCAATCAAAACCTGTTGCAGAAACTGAAAAGGATATATGGACTTGTGACAGTAGCTAACGGAATTCATGTTCCTATTAAAGGCAAAGGAATTCTCAATCTGTTTAATAAACCCTGTTGATGCTTTCCATGTACCTGATTTCAATACTAATCTCCTGTCTATTTCAAAGTTAACTACAGATTTCCCAACTGTTTCTGTCACGTTTCATGCTGATAAAGTCACGTTTCAGGATATTGAGACTGGTATCACCCTTGGAGAAGGCACCAAGAAGGACAATCTCTACCTGTTACCAGATCATTTTTTCTCTTCCAACTCTGTTTTTTCAGTTTCTGAAACGATTTCTCCTACGATATGGCATGGTCGATTAGGTCATTGCCATTCGAAGGCTTTCAATTTACTCTTTCCAAAAACTCGGTTTGATAATAAAAGCTGTGAGGCTTGCATTCTTGGCAAACACTGTCACTCTGTCTTTCCTACCTCTGCTACACAGACTGCTTCGTGCTTTGATCTCATACATTCTGATTTATGGACATCACCCTGCACTTCTCATGATAATTATAAATATTTTATCACATTCATAGATGACAAATCCAAATACACATGGATTTACTTTCTGATGTCCAAAGCTGATGCCTTTGATGTTTTTAAACGTTTCCATGCTTATGTACTAACTCATTTTAACACCAAGATTAAGATTTTGCCATCTGACAATGGTGGTGAATATGTTAGCACGAAATTTCGCGAGTTTACAGATTCTCAAGGTATCACTCATCAGCTTACTTGTCCCTACACACCCCAACAAAACGGCGTTGCGGAACGGAAAAACAGGCACTTACTCGAAGTGGCTCGCACTATTATGTTTGCACGCAACGTCCCAAAGCAATACTGGACAGACGCCGTGGGCTTTGCTTGCTACACGATCAACAGGATTCCCACCAGAATCTTGGATGACTCATCCCCATATGAGGTATTAAACAACAAACCACCCACCATTGATCATTTAAGAGTTTTCGGATGTGTCTGTTTTCCTCTTATACCAGATAATCAAAGGCAGAAGCTCGATCCAAAGGGGGTCAAGTGTCTCTTCTTGGGTTATCCCGTAAATCAGAAGGGCTACAAGTACTTCAACCCCACAACCAGACGCCTCTATATATCTAGGGATGTCCGGTTTCTAGAAGACCAGAGTTACTTTCCTCTAGAACCTCCTGTTGATTCAACATCATCTTCTCCACTGGTATCCACTTATAACATGTCTGTCATGCGTCTCCTGGCTGAAGCATTACGTCCCAACACTCCTTCCAATTTTCTGCCAGACACTGACCCACCACAGTCTCAAAATGAACAGCAGCAAACGATGTCTGAGGTATCTGTACTCCCTGAATCTTCAATCCCTATTGTTGACTCATCCATTGCAGGTCCTTCTACTCTAGCTTCTGTCCTTGTTCCCGACCCAGCCCACGATCCTATTCCACCATCGATAGCACCGCCTGAGTTGGTTATTGCCCCTGCACCTGCCCCTGCCATACAACGCAGCGAACGTCTCCACGCAAAAGCACTCCAACGAGAAGCTGCCGGTATTCAAACTCTTTCTGAACAACTGGCTGGAAAAAGAAATCATGCCACCATTGCTGTAACTACAGCTCTTCCGGACATACCTAAATCTCTCAGTGTAGTACAATATCCTATCCAATCTTGCTATTCACTTCAACATTTACCCACTGATGAGTTGTGTTTCTTGAGTAAGATTTATCAGGATATTGAACCTACATGTTACACCCAAGCAAAGAAACATCCAGAATGGCGCGACGCAATGCAGACAGAACTTTCTGCCTTGGAGAAGAACGGTACCTGGGAAATAACAGATCTGCCTATTCACAAGCAACCTGTGCGCAGCAAATGGATCTTTAAAATTAAGCGACGTAGCAATGGTGATATAGAACGCTACAAGGCACGCCTGGTTGCAAAGGGATATACACAAACGTTTGGGGAAGATTACAGTGACACATTTACACCTGTTGCGAATTTAAAATCATTCCGTGTTATCCTGTCTCTCGCAACTAATCTAACCTGGGATCTTTGGCAGCTAGATGTGAAAAACGCGTTTCTTCACGGAGATCTCGATGAAGAAATATACATGGTGCCACCACCTGGTCTTCGCGATACTCTTCCACCAAACAAAGTCTGCAGGCTGCGTAAATCATTATATGGCTTGAAACAGTCCCCTCGAGCCTGGTATCTCAAACTTTATCAGGCCCTTACCCAGTTTGGTTTCCATCGATCTGAAGCAGATCACTCTCTGTTTTATTGTCGCACAAACCAGGGTATCATTGTCTTACTCATATATGTCGATGACATAATCTTGACAGGCGATGACAGGGCAGGAATTACAGAAACAAAACAATTTCTGCAATCTACATTTGAAATTACAGATTTAGGTGCTTTACATTATTTCCTCGGCATCGAGATCATTCGATCTACTAACTCGTTGTTCCTGTCTCAGCGGAAATACACTCTAGATTTACTCCGTGACACCGGAAAACTCGCCGCAAAACCGGCTCCAACCCCTCTTG